ACTCGAGAAATTATTGCCAACAGACTTCGCTTCCCGAATTAATGTCTCAATAAGTAGATCTTTTGTTGAAATTTACTATGTTTTTGTTTCTTTAGACAATTTACGATCCGAGGGGTAGAGAGGAACACCTGTCCTTTCCTTTCTATATAATTAACCTTATCATGAGTACATAGACCACGGGTAGCGTTCTGGATTCGATGCTTAATTATAAAATGAAATATTGGTTTTCGTAAATTAAGTTAAATCTTATGGCTAGGCATCTCTAGATATCCTTTAAGCTATCATTTTTGGTGAATAAACAAATTGCCTTCGCCAGAACACAGGTCAATTAATGGCTTCGTTCTGTTCCATAACCCATTCTTTTCAATAAAAAAAAATAAGCAAAAAAGGCGACCCTAGTTGTTTTGCAACTAACAGAAATACGTGCTCAGTGGGTTAAGTACGATATCAACTGGTTCGTGGTGTGTCTGAATTTGTTCATGTCTCTGCTTTTTATTTTTACGTGCATGAGCCTGTGACAATTTCTTCATTGCTGGTGGCTCCTCCGACGTAGCGGCTTCTTTTAGTTTACTAATCGAGGACATAATTACCAGGCTTACGAATGTTTATAAAAAACTAGCGGTGCATTATCTAATAGGCGAAAAAATCAAAGTGGGAATGTAAGTAATAAGTAAGTTGCATATCAACCAATAAGGATTTACAACTCATCCCTTGATCATGTGCCCAACAAATAATGCGTAACGATCATCTGAAAATTTTATTATGATAATCCAATCACCAGGCCAGCTACATTAATACATCGAAAATATACAGTATGTATAGAAGAAATATGGGTAATTATTTCTGAAGGCGGACAGGAATTTTTCGTACCCTATAATTGTGATCCTAAAATCTGCATTATATACGCATTATCAAAAAATGGGACCGAAAAAATCATATTTAGTATTTTGATCGCTTTTTCAAGAATAATTGCCTATATATGGATAATAAAATCTAATTGTCATATAGAGGCGATGATACCGTAGAACTATCTTCCTTTCTACGTGATGTAGAGGTGGGTGCGTGGAATAATAAAGACATGTTGACGATAATTGTATTCTATAAAACCAGAGTAGGGTTAGAATTTTAACTACAAATTAGAATCAAATTAATTGAATAACAAACTCGTAGAGTTAACAAAGTCTTTATAAAATTTGTTAAATCGTAATCCCCCATCGGATTCACTGGGATTTCAGCCGACTGTAAATTGTAACGACGATGAATATTGTCTACACCTCTTGTAATAACACTCAGGTGTAATTTACGCCCTATGAAATTTTTGAATTATTAAAAAAATATTAACTTGTATAGGACTAAAAGAAAAATATAAAGTTTCTAACCTGCAACCTGAATTCCAACAATTCCGAACTGCTCTTTCTCCGGTTTACACCCTTTACGAGTCCAATATAATCCATCGTTCATCTCCCGCCATAATTTTACTTTATCATCCAGTTCTTTCTGCGGGGTGCAGAATATACGTGAACATTCACCATATAAAAGTTCATAAACTTTTCCCTCACGATGAACTTCAAACATTATATCTGGTCGTCTGCCTGTTTTTCCTATACCCTTCTATCCTTACTAGCAATACTTTGACGTTCGTATCTAAAAAAAAAAAATTAAATTAAATTTGCAGACGTAGACTTTAAAAGCGTGCATTAATAACTCCACTTACGTGCTAATAAACGAGGACTCTCCTCCAAAAGGGAGATTTTTCAATGCCGCACGAATCAATGGTACCACCACATTTGACACGTAAGTACCTTCGTTCAATGAATCAACAAAATCGGGTCCAAAAGCAGGATTGTCCCAGATATCTTTTATGGTGCTGAGAATTTCTTTCGTAACTTCTTTGAGAATCTCCACCGATTCTTTCCAACTTAAATCATGTTTCAATAATCTTGGTATATCCTCTGCCTGGTGTTGATAAAAGCCTACCAAAAATTCTCTACACATCTCTAGAATTATTGATAAATTTGGGGGTACCATTTGCCGTGCGGGTCTCATGAATTTTTTTTTAATAAGAGAGGGGAGATTATTCACTAGATCGGAATTATCATCAATTATCTGGTTGGCGAGTGGATCGCTCCATTCGAGACTGGAAGCTGTCACATCCCTTAGGCCTAGAGTTAATCTTCGTGCAAGCGCTGATGAATTTCTCTAGATACAATATTAGTAAGATTTATATCAAAACCAAGGCAGTTAAAATATTTAGTAATACTTACTGTCAGTTTTATCATCAACTTTTTAAGATTATTGTCAATTTGTTCCAGAGTGATAGGTTTTTCTTTGCTTACTTTTAGTGCCTCAATGTTGAATAAGCCATAGACCCCTTCATATGCCACCTCACACTAATACATGGGATATATGGATGAAGTCCGATAAAGTTTTTAATTAGAAGTATTACGTCAAAAAAAAAAAGTTCGAATATAATGCGCGCGCTGTCAGTATGTCGCAGGCAAAGCTAATGTCCTCGTGGGGCCCACACGCTGACATTAACTTATGTGTGGTCCGCTTATACCACATATAAACAGAACATAGTAATACAGTATAGCCACCCTCCTCATGTTCCCAGGATTAAATCCCGTACACGGGCTAAATAGGAATGAATAAACTGATATGTTTGATATTCAGGCCGAACCAAGTCTGCGACACTCATCATTCAGTTAATGAGCCAAACACAATTATCAGATTACATCTTACTTGTAGAGGTATTTGCGAAAGTTTTTGATTTCGAGTAGAACTTGAACTTTGAGCGCATGGATCCATCGCTGATGAAATTGCTCGGTAAACCAACCCCCTCATTTCTTCCTTTGGAATCCATGGTTCTTCATACAACGCTTGGTAGATGACAGTGGTTGCGTTTATATTTTCTTCTTCGGCTGTTGTTATAAAATTGTAAATTTTCGCATATAATTCGCTCATGTTTACAAGGTCCGAAAAAAACACAATAAAGTTTTTAATACGATGTGAAAGAAATAAAGCCACGAACTGCTACAACCAAATTATACTGTCTTTTAAAACATTTCGCCCATCCATTTCTGCGGTATGGGAATAATAGATTTAGGGAACGTGGAGCGATTCAAGCCCATGGGCATTACTATGTACAGTAAATATGCACGGCCTTTTCACAAAAAATACGTATGTCGCGAATTTAGACAATCGGATTTAGAATTTATGGAAAAGTTTCACGACCTTCTAATTTATTCTGCAATATAACATGTGAGATTAAACATCCGCAGAGATTTTTTACCGAAATGGGGTGTTCTCCTTGCGTCATTCATGCGTCATCCCTACAGTATTCTCGAGTACTATCATATACGTAATCATTAAAAAGTAAATTCGGAGTTTAATATTTAACATTTAAATAAAATTTATAGTTAAAAAATAGAGTAATTGTAAAATATAAAGTACAGTATATAATAAAGAAACAAAGAGTATAATAAAAAAAGGGTATGATAAAAGAAATAAAGTTATGATAATAAAGCACATTATAAAAAAAAATTATTAAAAAAATAAAGTATACAATAAAGAAATAAAGTGTATAATGAAAAAAACAATTAAATATATATATATATATATTTTTTTTTTTAAACCCTCTGTCAGGCTAGGTATGTGTGCTTTATTAAATATATGTATACTTTAAATTAAAAATGTATCGCTAAAGCTAAGTCTCTACCTAACTCACTCGTCTCTATTTTAAGAATTATTAAAACTCTAAGT